TAAAAATGGATCATAAGAAATATGGGAAAAGAACAGTATCTGAACGATCACAGCGTCATATGACAGCCTGTCAATTATACTTACCGATGCCTTTGCATATTTTGGCCTGGTCAGAATCAGAGAGATCTCTCATTTTCTTTTTAATGATGTCTTCCAGTACGACCAGCGCCATGGCATTCAACGCTGACGATGCTGTGCTGTTTATAGAATAAATAATAGTCAAATACTTCTCTAATTGTCATYTATCAGAGCCAAYGGATACAAACCTTAGTGCGCCTGCGTARAAGCAAGCAGTYAACATTCCCGGCAGGCCTTTCAGGTGTCCYAGTTTGTTGATGACYAAATATGGCAGGACCTGGAAACGATTACCAACAGATCACGTGAGTGATAATGATATTAAAATTAAAGAGACCTCAAGACATCATGCATATGTTGTATGACGTCATGATCAATATGACGTAATAGACAGCCCACCTGGTCYTTACTAGTGATTTTCTTGTCCATTCTCAAATCGCATCCCGAGTACACGGCAAAGATGACCAGCCCGTCCAGGAAACAGAGTGTCACGATGAACAGAAGACCAGGAATGTTAAGCAACACCACCCTGGAAATGACCGATACATATTGATTATTACTTAAATATAACACGTATTGCTATTGGTTGAGATAACACGTGTTGTGATTGGTTAGAGGTCGCGATTATACTAATAAAATGCATATTCATATAACACACGTRGTGATTGGGCATAACAATGTTTCTATGACCTATATAAGATGCGTTTTCATTGGCCTACCTTTTAGCAGCTTTAGTTGTAGGGACTGACAAGAATCTCTGTACAGCGGTCTGACTCACCGTCCATACAGGCATTGCGGTAAACGCCCCACCAAGGGTCAAAGTCCAGAACGTGTTACGAACCTTGGGGTCTGGGTTGAAACTACAAATGACGTCATGTTACTCGTATCATGAATATATAAAGGTTCTAATAATTGTTTAAAAGAAAATGCACCGAGAAAAATTATYTATAATGTTTTAAGGGAAGCTTTTTACGTGACAGAACTTGAACGTGAAAACTAGTTTGCCAGAGATACAAAGTCACTTACTCAAAAAACGTGAGTCGACCAAATTCTTTGTTAATTCGCCAYACTTCGTCCATTCCACCGACCTCGATGCTGCCGACGATCACAACTGCTATCAAACCACCGATCATGACCATCGATTGGAAAACATCGGTCCAGATAACTGCCTTGAGACCACCCTAATGCCGGGAAATGAATGGAAAATAAATGGAAAATGACATGGTAAATGAATGGAAATTAAACGACGAAAATGCTTCAGGGTACGTTTAGGTGGAGAGGACACAACGTCGGGAATTGTACTCACCAAGCTAGTATAGAAGGTGCATACAATACCAGTGGTTAAAATAGAAGCTGCCAAAGGAATACCAGCCACTGAAACCCAAAATATATTTTATMGGATTCCTGTGTTCAAAGTCTCGCAGAAACCTAAGTACRACTTACCAGCTTCTAGTGCCAGGGACGGCGCGTACAGAACGACAAACAGATATAATGTCTGAATGAAGRGAATAATAATTTTTAGTTGCAGCAGTTAGTTACTATAAATAAAACTGTGTAATGCCTATTAATTTGATTAGGCGAGTCTTGTCGTTGTACGACCATCAAAATTATCAGGAGTAATGCCCAATGCGCATGCCCGAGCCTGTACTTACATATTCCAACATGAAGAAGACACAGCCAACCATTCTGACACCCAAAGAATATCGACGCTCCAAATACTAAAATTCATGATAAATTACATTTAGATGTGGTGATGTACAATTACAAATGGAGAAAAAGTATACTATTGTTGCTGTGATAATTGTAAAGACCTTTTAAGAACACACTACCCACAGTGCCTTGCGGTTGTTTTCTTCGACGACCGTTATTAACATTGCTGTATTCCGGAAGATTATTACTATGCACTATGCACATGATTGCTATGCACTATGCACATGATTGATCGAATTGATCCCTGGTGTGATTGAAAATCACGAGAGCATGGGGTTTATTAACCAATGCACATGGAAAACATGCGTGAAGCGTTTTGTAAAAACTCAGCCATTTTCTTGAGATACATTGCTGTTTGTWTCCTAKTACATTTGTTGGGAAGTTGTTATGATAATTCAGTCTGCACCTGGGTAACGGTACCTGATTGCATTCATTATATATGAAAAATATACGTGAAATATCAACTACTTAATACATTAACCATAATCTGTGCGCAAACAAAATTGATTTAAAATGGGTTAAGTCGCGAAAATAGCATTCACCACAAAGCGCATTTCGCGACGTGTACATATAAGGTGAATATGAACCAATTTGAACCCCTAACCTCATTCGCACATGTGATGTTAATTCGTCGAAACATTGGCACAAAAATGATGGAAACAACTCCACAGATGATAAAATAGGACAGAATCAGGACATAATACTGCGCTCCATAGGTGTAAATCTCAGACGGGACGCCTAGTAGAGTAATCGCTGATAGATAGGACACCAGTAGTGATATAGCAACTGGTAAAATACGCATCTTTCTGTCTGCAAGGAGGTATTCCTTGGTAGTCTCTTGTTTTCCACCAGGTCCACAGCCATACCAGATACCAATAGCAGCAGAGATGAGTAACATGATAGAGAATACAACATAGTCGACAARGCTGAACTTTTCCGACATCTTTCACTTAGTTATAGAGGAAACAAGATTTGTCGTTCTAGTGTAGCAGCTTGACTGCAATTCAGGTCGGTCAACCATGAAGTTAGAAGCGTCAGGTAAAACAATAAAATAACAATCAAAATGCAAATGTTTAAAATAGCTACAGCAATTAGGTCTAGGCTCCAGTCATCTTGGCTTGCCAGGCGGCTTCAACAAGAAATTCCATAAGACTGCATTTATCTATATAGATATGATCAAACAATTTACAAACTTTTTCAATAAAATCAAAAACCAGCGAGGTAATTATTGCCCTGATCAAGAGCAACTGAAGAGAAAAGGTTTGTACCTTTTGGCCGAAAATGGGAACAGGAGTTATATTTTTTTGTGACGGGGAGTCCATATATGAAGGAGATCACCAACTCAAAATCACCGAAAATCCTATAAATGTCATTTACCATATTCCTAACAAATATGCTAAAATTAAGAAAAAACGAATCGGTGCGAAGAAGGCAAGGAAGGACTTATAGCTTTTCGTTTCGAAAAAGCTTTGTAACAAGTCATTCTTTTTCAAAGAAAGCGGATGCCCAGATGATGGCAAACCCTATTCAGGTCCGTAACCAGGGGGTACACTGTGTGAACGTGCACCCCCCAGAGTAGCTGGAGGTCCACTGTAGAAGTTCTGTTACGGCCCTGCTATTCGTTATCAGTTCAAGGCAGGTATCCTAATCAAAAACTGGTGGATTAAAAATATCAAAATCTGTGCATTTGTGCGACGAATGTTGACGCAGAGAGGGAAACTACACAACTAATAGGGAACAAGAGGAACTCATTGTTATAGCTCGCACCTTGGGGGGAGGGGAGGGGGGAGAAAAATTGCGAAATTTTGAAAATGTGTTTACTATGAAGATTCTGTTCACTGGATAAGAAAACTAYGCTCAAGTGATATCATTTAATGAGTTTTGAAGAAAATCAAGTGCAAGATTTATACGAAAATGCAAAAGAGRTTATCAATTGGGCTTACTGTGTGCTTTACACGCAGGCAGCAGCCCATTCACGAAATAATCCAGTGCTTTTTAGCTTACGTTAAATCTTCTACAAATACGAAGCCAAAACAGTAACAAACCAAATAAAAATTAAATCTACTATCAATTMACAAACTAGKTTATGCAGGCTAAAAACTAAAACAAATCGTCCAAATCAATCAAAGTAAGAAATATACTCAAACGTGTCAGTGTGAAAGTAATTTCTTGATTCTGGGCTTCCTGTGTTACCAGTGCGAGAAACTATTTCCTCTATGTATCCTTGGGAACCAGCCATGCTATATATGATGGATCAAGAAGGCATCTCGATGTCTTGATCAGAAACGCGTCTCATCTGTTTTTTCACCAACTGGTTTCTTGTCTTCAAAACGAACGTCGATTTCCTATGAAAACAATTGAATATAATAATAATAATAATAATAATAATAATAATAATAATAATAATAATAATAATAATAATAATAATAATAATAATAATAATAATAATAATAATAAAAACTTTATTTAATGATGGTTAACCAGTTTAGTCAGAGACTAATCTACCACTGGGTCATCAAGATAAATCTAAAATACAATAATAACAATAAAATATATAACTATGAAATATGCATAAGAAATTATTAACAATTAGCAGATTAATAATTTGTATAAGACTATAATAGATCTAAAAGGTGCTTATAAACTAAATTTCTAAAAATATTGTAGCTGGGTTCATGTTTGAGATCGTTCGGGGGATTGTTATGAGCTATTAATAGCACCGTTCACCAAATGTACTTCTAATTACAAAAACGTTAACATAAAGAAATAGAACTTGTAATTTGGTGCAGTGGGAACAATTTCAAAAAAGAAAATCACTCAGACATTTCTGTGCACTAATGTTCAAATCTTCTATTTCTTTAGGACAACGTTAGGTTTATGTATATAATTATGTTAAATTTTTTTTTGTAATAAAGTGATGAAGTTGTCCTTCAGTAGCATCGTGTTGTGCAATATAAAGTTGAAATTAGGCCATACGCTACTGCTGTGATAAGTTTACTTTCGAGCTTTCGTCGGTCGCCGACATCATCAGGAGATGTTTTTGTAATGTTTGTCTTCCCATGATCCCTTTCGAGCTTCGATAATGCAGTCTTTACGAATCCGACACCGCTTTTATAATTAGTGGTAAGAAYGTTGTACTACGTAATTGGTCATAATGCTACATTATGAGTGAGGTTGCGTAGAGAAAAAAGGGCAGAAAAAGACTAAAATTCCGTATGTACAATAGTTGTACAATATGAACTTTCGTCGTATCACTTGAAAGGGATTTTATATATCGTCCAGTGTCGGTTAGCGACTCAAACCGATTTTAACCAGTTCAAACCGCGTGTTTATGACGTGGACTTACCGACACTGCGTGATTTTCATTTGATTCGCATTTTGTGTCCTGACCATTCAAATGCAGGACCTAATAAACAACCGAAT